CCAAAAGATGCATATGAAAGCTGAATGTTTGGGGCAAGTAGCAAGTATCGATATATTATTGTGGTTTTAGCCGTTTGGCTGTAATTCGTGTTCAAAGTTTGAAAAAATGCTCGAAAAAGCAGTATTTTCACATTTCATTGATTTTCTCGAAAACTATAATAGATAGAATGAATCCAAAAGATGCATATGAAAGCTGAATGTTGGGGGAATTTAGCACGTATTGATATATTACTGTGGTTTTAGCCGTTCGGCTGCAATTCGTGTTCAAATTTGAAAAAATGAAAATAAAAGCAGTGTCTTCAAATTTTATTGATTTTCTCGAAAACTATAATAGATAGAATGAATCCAAAAGATGCATATGAAAGCTGAATATTTGGGGCATGTAGCAAGTATCGATATATTACTGTGGTTTTATCCTTTTGGCTGTAATTTGTGTTCAAATTTGAAAAAAATAAAAAAAGCAGTGTTTTCCTATTGCATTGATTTTCTCGAAAACTATAATAGATAGAATGGATCCAAAGGATGCATCTGAAAGTTGTATAGTTGAGTAATGCAACGCGTAGTATTATTTTCAGATAGAATGGATGCGTACGATAGTTATTGATTCACAATGAACCTTGTGGAATGGTCTTGTGACTCATTGTCGCGAGGGGGTTAAGAGGTCGAAGTCTCTATAGACTAGACTCGCCTTTTTTCCTTCAGGCTTTTCCACTGTCACACATCGAGTTTGTTTTATCGTCGCTGAAGTCCAGAACAACAAGAAGCGCAGGACCGGATTGTCACAGTTTCTACAATAATTCCGTAGATTATTATTCAAATTTTACGCAAATAATAACTCGTTATCGAGCGAGAGTTATGTAGGTTACGGTAAATGTTTGAATGCACACGCAACTCGGGCTTTTTTAAAACTCGAATACCGATTATTGATATTTGAGTGCTAGATTGTCAATTTATCTGTTGTTTCATGTCGTTGCGTTAAGGGTTTTTTTTTTTAATTAACACGTGCACTAACTCTAAAAAATGACGTCCTTGATGGATTTACAACAGAACTAAAGAAACTTTACTTTTCCAGCTGTAATTAACTGCTAGGTCGTGACATAAAAGATTCGAGATTGCCTGCAATTCCTTTCCTTCCGCTTGCAATTAAAGACATAATCGATCATCTACAGCAAGGTCGTCGCAGCCCACGAGAATTTGCAATTTGGAATTGTTGAAATTGGGTGCGGTCCTTCGCAGAAACGCAGGTGGCATTGGTTTATTTCAATTGTCACTCTGTGTTATCGACGAGAGTGAAGATGATAACCTTGCGCCATTCGTCCGATTCAATTAACCGCAGTTGTAAACATTATTAGACGATGATGGTTCAATCGACCTTTGATTGTTGAGGATGAGGAGGAGAGTTGAGAGTCCCAGTGATTTCATCATGGCACTCTAGCTTTCATTGGCGATAACGAGATGATCGTGGCACCTTCGTTTTTTTTTGTTTGTTTCTTAATTATGTTTTTTGTTCAATTGTTTTGAAGCGCTGTTTCGGATCTTTTATGGCATCGGTTATTAAGTGATTGCTTTTGTGAAACTGTTATCATCTTTTTATTGCATGGAAAACTTTTCCTACGTGCTGTTATTTTCTATTCTTAGACTTTCATATCAATTCCCATCAATTTGACGATCCGTTAATTAGTCAGTATTAAGAAACTATTAAATAATCATAGGTGCTACACGTCAATGTTTAAACTATTGTTTCTACAATTGTTTATTTTTGTCTTCTTGACAACGCGTAAAATTACTTCTTCATCTTTTTATAAAGTTCGAAAATATTTGACAGTGACAGTGAGTGAGAGAGAGAGAGTGAGAGAGGGGCGACAACTAAAGAAGACGAGAATTCCACGAAGGGCAACGACCTTACATAATTATTACGTTTTACTCTTAGCTCGAATTCGACGACTAAATTACTTTACATTTAGTTGCAATTAAAATACTAAAGATTGCCATGAAACAATTGACATAATTTGACCGAATTGCATTTAAGTACATAAAAAATAGCATCAGTTATCAGGTTTTTTTTTTTGTGTGTGTGTGAAGTAATTCATAATTCTCTCTCTCTCTAGAGTTATCGCTTTTAGCGCCTCGGAATTCGGGCAAAGGTCGCTTTTGGCCTCTCTCGCAATCTAATCTAAATTCGGTGGCAGGTATTTGCGCAAATTAAAAAATTAATTAATTGTCTGACGCGAATGCAATAAGTGAAAGTCAGAAAAATCTCTTGAGCTCTGTGTATAAATTATTCATTCACATTCAGCGTTTTTTTTTTTGATATTTCTGCGACGGAGAGAAAAAAATGTTATTTGCGTTACGTTTGTTGGCGAGAACATATCGGGTTTACGTAACTGTTGTAGTAACGATGATTAAGTAATGCGACGTAATATGAAATCTAGTGAATGATGTTGCCTATACAGTTGATCGATTCTCGCTCTATTAATAGCTTAGAATTTCTCATCTTTGAAATTTTGTTATTGAAGGGCAAAGTGTAGTTCCTTGAAGAACACACGAAATTAGATCGAAAACGTGTTTCATTTATTGCACCGAATACAGTCTCAAACAATTGAATTATTAAACAACAAACAATGTAAATTAAAAAAAAAATAAGTAAGATTAAGTGTGCTTTGAAAAACAGTTGAAATGAGTCATCAAACATGTTTCATTTATTGAACCGAATACAATTTCAAACAATTGAATTAGTAAACAATAATGTAAATTAAAAAAAAAGTAAGATTAAGTGTGCTTTGAAAAACAGTTGAAAAGAGTCTTAGTATTATTGATGCGTTGCGATTTACAGAGTAAACGGTAAATTAAATTTACACCTCTTCTATTGGTTTGTTTACATACAAACGTTAACTCTTCAATTGAGTTGATTAAAACTAATAGGCAGATTCAGTTTAGTTAGTAGGAATTAGGACTTTTCTATTATAATTATTTTAATCCAGACGGCTATGAATTGACGTTTCTCAACAACAACAAAAAAAACGAATCGATTGATGACAGTAATGATAATATTGACAGTACAATTAGTTTAAGTTAATTATTGTGGAGGAGGTTAATTATTGTGAATCGTTTCAAGAAATTATGCAAAGTTTTTTGCTTTTGCGGGTGTTCCAGAAAGTCCCATTGATTCGTGACATTCTGAACGTAAGTTGACGTGTTCATTTATTGCACCAAATACAATCTCAAACAATTGAATTAGTAAACAACAAACAATGTAAATTTAAAAAAAAAAGTAAGATTAAGTGTGCTTTGAACTGAGTCTACGTGTTATTGATGCGTTGCGATTTACAGAGTAAACGGTAAATTAAATTTACACCTTTTCTATTGGTTTGCTTACATACAAACGTTTAACTCTTCAATTGAGTTGATTAAAACTAATAGGTAAATTCAGTTATGTTAGTAGGATTAAGATGATTAGGTCTTTTTTATAATAATTATTTTAATCCAGACGGCTATGAATTGACGTTTCTCAACAACAAAATGGAATCGATTGATGAAATTAGTGACAGTAATGACAATATTTATAGTATAATTAGTTTATTAGGTTTTTTCTAATTAATTATTGTGAATTGTTTCAAGAAATTATGCAAAGTTTTTTGTACCAAATACAGTCTCAAACAATTGAATTATTAAACAACAAACAATGAAAATACAAAAAAAATGTAAGATTAAGTGTGCTTTGAAAAACAGTTGAAATGAGTCTACGTATTATTGATGCGTTGCGATTTACAGAGTAAACGGTAAATTAAATTTACACCTCTTCTATTGGTTTGCTTACATACAAACGTTAACTCTTCAATTGAGTTGATTAAAACTAATAGGCAGATTCAGTTAAGTTAGTAGGATTAAGATGATTTAGGTCTTTTCTATTATAATTATTTTAATCCAAACAGCTGTGAATTGACGTTTCTCAAAAAAAAATGGAATCGATTGATGAAATTAGTGACAGTAATGACAATATTTCTAATTAGTTTATTAGGTTTTTTTCTAATTAATTATTGTGAATCGTTTCAAGAAATTATGCAAAGTTTTTTTTTGTTTGCTTTTGCGGGTTTTCCAGAAAGTCCCATTGATTCCTGACATTCTGAACGTAAGTTGACGTGTTCACTTATTGCACCAAATACAGTCTCAAACAATTGAATTATTAAACAACAAACAATGTAAATACAAAAAAAAATGTAAGATTAAGTGTGCTTTGAACTGAGTCTACGTATTATTGATGCGTTGCGATTTACAGAGTAAACGGTAAATTAAATTTACACCTTTTCTATTGGTTTGCTTACATACAAACGTTTAACTCTTCAATTGAGTTGATTAAAACTAATAGGCAAATTCAGTTAAGTTAGTAGGATTAAGATGATTAGGTCTTTTTTATAATAATTGTTTTAATCCAGACGGCTATGAATTGACGTTTCTCAACAACAAAATCGAATCGATTGATGAAATTAGTGACAGTAATGACAATATTTCTAATTAGTTTATTAGGTTTTTTTCTAATTAATTATTGTGAATTGTTTCAAGAAATTATGCAAAGTTTTTTGTACCAAATACAGTCTCAAACAATTGAATTATTAAACAACAAACAATGTAAATACAAAAAAAAATGTAAGATTAAGTGTGCTTTGAAAAACAGTTGAAATGAGTCTACGTATTATTGATGCGTTGAGATTTACAGAGTAACAGTAAATTAAATTTACACCTCTTCTATTGGTTTGCTTACATACAAACGTTAACTCTTCAATTGAGTTGATTAAAACTAATAGGCAGATTCAGTTAAGTTAGTAGGATTAAGATGATTAGGTCTTTTTTATAATAATTGTTTTAATCCAGACGGCTATGAATTGACGTTTCTCAACAACAAAATCGAATCGATTCATGAAATTAGTGACAGTAATGACAATATTTATAGTATAATTAGTTTAATTATTGTTAGTCGTTTCAAGAAATTATGCAAAGTTTCTTTTGCGGGTGTTCCAGAAAGTCCCATTGATTCGTGACATTCTGAACGTAAGTTGACGTGTCAAGGTTCGGATTGTGGGGGGGCGGACTGAGGTAGGTCGAAGAAGGCGCGTCTCTAGCTCCTCCTATTCGTGTCGTCACCAGAATCGAGCGACGGCGCCGGAGGTGTGACGCCTCGAAGGTGACCCCTGCGCAAAATTGCGAACGTGCAGAAAAACATTCGCATCGAAAACGTTTTACCAGGAAATGCGCGAAATCGTTCTATCTACACTTGCTGTTCAATTGTTTGCTCTCTCCTCTCTCTCACTCTCTCTTTCTGACACATATCACGATTACGCAATTGTTATCGCAGCCTCCTCTTCCGTTTCTACAACTGTAATCAATTTTAATTTCAACAGTTTTTCAATTATTACAATTTTATTATTATTTACACCATAATAATTGCGATGCAAGAAATTATATCTGTATTTACCTTACTAGAAAATCAAGGTGCATCACATATTGTTGCATCATATTTTCTCCGTTTTGCTCGTTATATCCGTACGCATGTACTTTCTACATTTCGAACGAACACACCTTCGCCTCGACCAATGGTCGCACCGAAATCCAGAGGCTCGTCACGCATGCGCCCAATCACAAGGTTCACTCTACGACAACAACAAAAAAAAAAAAGTATATACAGAAGAAGAAGAAGGTAGCTCGCGTAGTTCCACTTTATTCCCGACTCGGGTTACGTGTGTCGTGTGCATATAACCCAAGTGTTGTCGACGATCTATTTTCGTCTCTACAGGTTTTATTTTTATTGTTCGTTTGCAATCGAATAAAAGAGATGGGTTTGAAATGGCCGGAGAACCTCGCCCTGTACAAGGTACATAAATATTTACATTCGAATTTCGCGCCAGAGATGTCTCGTTTCTGATTGGTGGAGACGCGGGGTGTGTGTGTGTGCGGCATCGACCCGGAGACGAGCCTCCCTAACCATGGAAATGCAATAAACAAACAACAAGAACACGTGGTCCATGATAAACGATTTTCTTTTATTTATTTAAAACAATATTCGTTTTAATCAATTACGTATTGATATTGAAAACAGATGAAAAAAAAAAAGAAAAAAAAAGGAATGTAGATTCCGACGAAGAATGTCAAGGTGACCTTTTGAATGCTACCTCCTACGAAGACTCGTTTCTTAAAATATGTATCTTAAGATACAGACAATTTTACACGTTTGTTAATATTTCACGAAAAAATTAGTTAAAACTGTATTAATTTGGGTCATTTCAATGACGCAAAAGCATACACCTGTACATGATGCAACGCGTTTCTGTTCATTCACGCTCGATGAAAACAACGAAATTTTAACCATATTTATTTACCAATTAGTTCGCTTATCCGTACGACTCGAAAAACTGTTATTTCAACATTTGCAATCTCATTAGCCGTGATTCATAAAACAATCGACAAACAATTTTCAATATAAACTTTTTTCATAATTGAATTATGGTTCAAACGAAAGTTTCATATCTAATCTCTCGCATTTATATCGATTTATTGTACGCGCGCGTTTTTTCTCTCTTTCCTCTTTATTTCGTAATTGGGAAATCCCAGTTTTTCCCCATTAAAATTGATAAATACAAACCGCAGATTAGTATCGAAACGATTCCATAAACATTAATTCCATCCAGCGATGTTGCGCGTTCTCAAAGTGATTTTGCAATTGTTCTAACTTTTTCCGTTCATTTGTTTGTACTTTTGTTTGTTTGCTTTCTAGATTCAGGACAGATGCAAGGAGCTGATTCTCGGTGACGATCAGCTGAAGGAGGTGATGAAGAGGTTGACGGACGACATCAACAAGGGTTTAGGAAAGAAGACCCACGCCGATGCCATCGTCAAGTGCTTCGTCACGTACGTGCAGGATCTTCCCAATGGAACAGGTAATGTTGTCGTTGCGGACTTTCGATCACGTAGTCAAAAGAAAAGTAGTCGTTCGTTGCGCAACAAATTTGATCGGAATGCAACAACTTTTGCACTTGACAAACGTCAGATTCAATTGTTTCATCTAAACTTTGACAGTTTGTTTTCGAACTGATGCGTCAAATAATTTAATGGTTATAATAGTTAATGTAACAATTGTAATATTTAATTTGCAATGATTTTCAATGATTTTCAATGAAAGAAATAATAGAATTTTTCCAGCTTAAATAATTATAGACTTGTTGACATTTATTTCTTCGAACTGGTTTCTTGTTATTGATGGAAAGTTAAATTGTTCGAACTGTCAGATCATTTGATAGTCGTGACAGGAAGTCACGTAACGCAAAACTTTTATAACAATTGAAATGTTTACAGTTTAGACATCATCAATTGTCATTAGAAGCGTATTTCGATATTATAAAGTTATTTTGCATTCAAATTGAATGTTTTATTTAACAAGTTAAACGCGTTTACGAAATGCTCGTTCGTTTCGCTTATCTCGAAAAAATTGTTCACGCTTTTATTATTTTTTTATAAACGAATTGCGTAAGTGGAATGTGTATTTATGTATTATCTACGTGTAATGGTTGAGATTTTGATTATTTTTTAGAAAGGAATTTGTTAATTGTTATATAAATAGGTTTACTACAATGATTTTAGTTTCATAACGTAACATTTGCTGTTGAAAAAGAGTTTCCAGTCTCTCGTACAGTTTTGAATTGCAAATTCGTCGAGTTTCGCATATTTTTTTTTATGATTATACGTTTTGCATTCATAAAATTGTATTAATATATTATATACCTGTCGGCCGAGCAAAGGTCACTCGCCTTGAAAATCCAATGCTACAAAACACGATAAAGGAAAGTTGACTTTTTGAAATTAATGCTCGCTTTTCTGTGTTGTAGAAAAGGGAAAATTCCTTGCTCTTGATTTGGGCGGAACGAATTTCCGCGTGCTGCTGATCGAGCTGGGCGATAATCACTTCGAGATGAAGTCGAAGATCTTCGCCATACCGCAGCACATCATGCTCGGATCCGGGGAGCAGTTGTTCGACCACATCGCCGACTGTCTGGCGAAATTCATGAAGGAGGAGAAGGTGCAGAAGGAGAAGCTGCCGCTCGGATTCACGTTCAGCTTTCCGCTGCAGCAGCTCGGATTGACGCGCGGCATGCTCGAGAGATGGACGAAGGGGTTCAACTGTTCCGGAGTCATCGGACAGGACGTCGTCCAGCTGCTGAAGGACGCCATAGCGAGACGAGGCGTAAGTCGTGGGATTCGCTTCACGAAACTTCTTCTTGTACGAAAAAATTGAAATGTTTATGTATTCAGGATATTCAAATATCCGTGATGGCAATTTTGAATGATTCGACGGGCACGTTGATGTCCTGCGCTTGGGTCGAACGCAAGTGCAGGATCGGGGTCATCACTGGTAAGAAGCACCAGCAAAATTATAATTAAGGGGGCTGTGAGAGAATATCTCAAACTAAAATTGTTTTGGCATGATCTGTTCTTATTGGCTATACATACTACCTGCCCCGAATCATCATCATAATCGCTCCTCGTTTTGCATGAGAATCTGTTTTATATGTTACGTCCACGTCTCTTTCTTTGTAGGACATTCAGATAACAGTGTGCGCGATCTTGAACGACACCACAGGCACCCTCATGTCTTGCGCTTGGAAAAATCATGATTGCAAAATTGGTCTCATCGTCGGTAGGTTTACCCCCCTCAATTCGTTGAACCCAACAACAACAACAAAACTAAAATTTTCAAAATTTCATCTTACTAACGCTTCTTAATGTTTCGGCTTGTTCTATTCAAAAAAACAAAACAATTGGGCTTTTTTACCATACGAAAATCGTTGTGGCGTTTCTTCAACTGTTTGGGTTAAAGGTACCGGCACGAATGCGTGTTACGTGGAAAAGCAGAAGAACGCTGAGCTGTTCGACGGTCAGGACAACGGATCGGGGAAGGTGCTGATCAACACGGAATGGGGCGCGTTCGGAGATGATGGCCAATTGGATTTCGTTCGCACGGAGTACGATCGCGACATTGACGAGCATTCCATCAATCCCGGCAAACAATTGTGAGCATTCAAAGTGATTTGAGAGAATTCGTATTTAATCTATCTGATGCGTTCGTTTCAGGCACGAGAAGATGATTTCCGGCATGTACATGGGCGAATTGGCGCGTCTGGTGCTTCAGAAGTTGACGAAAGAAGGTCTCCTGTTCAACGGCAAAGGCTCGGATCCGCTCTTCACCAGACAGAGGTTCTACACCAAGTACGTTTCGGAGATCGAGAACGAACCGCACGGAACGTACAACAATTGCAGGCAAATCTTGGAGGAATTGGGCAAGTTCCGATCGAAGGAACGTCTTCTTTCGATGGATGTAATTAATTTTGGATTTAATTTTGCAGGAATCAAGCACGCTTCGGAGCAGGATTGCGTGAACGTGCGTTACGTGTGCGAGTGCGTGTCGAGACGCGCCGCTCACCTGGTGTCCGCGGGCATAGCCTGCTTGCTCAACAAGATGGATGACCCCACCGTGACCGTCGGCATCGATGGGTCCGTGTACAGGTACCATCCGCACTTCCACAACCTTATGGTCGCCAAGATCTCGAACCTCGTCAACAAACACATAAAGGTACAAGCAATTTATTTTTTCTTGATTAAAATCATCTCAATTTATGTATGTATTTTCCTTGCAGTTCAACCTGATGCTCTCCGACGACGGTAGCGGACGTGGCGCCGCGTTGGTGGCGGCCGTCGCGTCGCGCAAATGATTTCTGCAATCATTAATTTCAAGAGAGTCGAGTTCCTACGTCGTGTAAATTGGATTTTGTTCTATATCTATTTCTTAAATTATTTAAATTTTGTACAAAATTTTTGCTATCCTGAGCGGCTGCATTTTCTTTCCAATATATTTGTATAAATATAAAAAGGCGCTCAATATGTATATTGTTCTATTCGTTTGTTTGTTTGTTTGCGCGCCCACGAAATTCTGTAGATTTTATACTTGTAATTTGTTAAAAAAAAAAATATTCCACGTTTGTACATAATTGTAATTTGATGATGAAGAAAATGAAGGAGAGATATTTTATAGGTAAAAGTGCTACCCGTGGAGAGTACTTAATTATTATTTCGTTTGTTTGAAATTACTTCTTCTGTTTTTTTGTTTTGTAACAAATTTATTATAATAAAACATATTTTTATAAACAATTTTCGTTGCTCTCTTTCATTTGTAAAACGAATTAGATCACCCAAATAACACTCGGCCAATTAATTTCTTTGCATTTTGAAAGTCTTCCAATTCTAAGGCTTCTACGACATTCAATTAACTAACTCACTGTATGTTCAACGAAAATGTTCACTTTTTGAATGCGATGAGGCCGTAGCATCTCGGCGAAATGACCGGATCGAAAAGTTGCACCAGAAAAGCGTCCTCGATTCCTTCCTCCAGCAGAAACAAATACCTATCGAGCAGTATCAACGATTCCACAGCCGGAGCGAGCATGCTGCGTAACAAATGGTAAACGTTCAACGCCGTCCTGGATTCTTCGTTTCTTTTGTAAAAACTTTCCAAGTCTTCATCGGTGATTGCATCTGAAGACACCTGGAGTCTCCTCATCGCCTCCCTCGCGTACTCGGTGAAATCCTTCGGCTCCTTCCGGAACTTGCCGACGTGCGATTCGGGCATCGGGTCGCAGTGTTTCGAGAGCACGAGCTGCAGAAGGGCTCTATAGAAGATGGTCTTGCTCGGCAGATCCTGATGCGCCAGTATCCTATCTATGGACTGCGCGGCCAACATCCTCGTGGCTCTGCCAAGACTGTACTTCTTGTTCTTCAGATATTGGCTCATCGGAAATCCTTGCTGCTGCTGTTGACCCAAATTCTGCATGCCGCTGGCGATGTAATTCTCGTTCAACAGATGGTAGCAGCAGCTCACGTTGCAGATTGATTTGACGTTATCGTTCGTTTTGAATATTCTCAAGGACGTGGGTCCGAGATCGCCGCACGTGTGCAAACCGATCACGCCTAATCCTCTCGTCCTCTGCAGAAACACGTCGTGGACGAGTGCGTCGAAATCCGTTCGCTCCGTCACGTACTGGGTGACTTGCTTGTAAAGTTCGCCAATTCTTACAGCACCTTTCGGCGTCTTCGCGATGGTGTGCCAATGTTTACCCAACTTTTCCGCTCTTCTAATAGCGCTCGTCGTGTTCGTCAAACTCGCGTCCACTCCTAATATCGGTACACCGTGTTGGAAAGCGATCAAACTGCTCAAATATCCTTTACCATCGCCTATATCGACGAGATGCGACGTCTTCGCGATTTTCCTCACCGACGCTGCGATCGCGCTCAACGTCTCCACCTCGTGCGACTTCTTCTCCTTCATGAACACCTCCAACTTCAACCCGGAGATCTCTTCGCCACTCATAGACACAAGCTTCTCGCGGAAATCCGCCAGATTCATGCAAACCGACGACGCGTTGTACAGCGATAAACTCTTGGCCGTCCGCACGTAATCGTTCAGACGCGTCGCTCCGGCAGTTTCCCGACAATTCAATATATCTTCGATCACTACCTCGAAACCTGCACACTTGATCTCGTTTCGTATTTGCGGTGAAACGCGATTCGCGTACAGAGATTCCGTGAAGTAGTCGACCATGTGGCCACCGCTGAGGCTCAGATGCTGATCGAGGAACGCGATCAAGCGATCTATGACCTCCACCGCTCTTCCGCGCATCGTCAAAAACTTAAGTTGTCCACCTCCGGATAGCTGAGGTCGAGCTTCACCTGAGCGCAGAACTTCTTGAACAACGTCCGCACCTTCTCCGCTTCAGCTACGATGTCCACGTCGTCCGCATTGATCCGCGGGAAATTGCCCAACAACTCTTCAAGAGTTTCGAACGTCTTCAGAGCTTTCTCCGAGTACTCAGCTTTGTTCGTTTCCAGGGATACGAGTACGCCGCAGTAGTACCCCAGCTCGGCTCCAATTTCCGCTCCCCGATGGTAACCAAGGTGATAACCTTCAGGATTACCCTCGGCCAAACCCTTCTCTAAGCCCTCTTCGTAGCCCTTCTTTATGTACGTCTCCTCCGAAAATTGTATATCATCGAAAATATCATTGATGTCCTTTTCTCCTAGCAAATAAGAACAAAAAGAACAAAGCATTAATCAATGAGTCGTGTGACGTGCACAGAGGGTGAGAGCAATGTTGCCATACACAAGTAAATGTCCTTGCAACAGGTTATTATTGTAATAATAACGCACGTTTAATTAAATTGTCCAAATAAAAATGCGATCTTTGGACGATCCTTTTAACATATCCAAGCGTTTATCCAACGAATTAACGAAGGTTTACATCAAATTACTTTAAGGGTGGATTTCTCGTTATGATCTGGCAGCAATGGAGCAATCCAGAGGTGGTCCATAGTGAACAGGGAATCTGCACGTATCAAACAGATTGATTTACGATTCGAGAAAGATTGTATACCTGCAGATACCATTGTCCGAGATGGGTTTGTCCGTGATGGAATCTTTGGTGCTGTTCCACCTGGTCCTAATGATCGTCGTTCTGAACTACATGTACTTTTTCATGCAAAAGTCCGAATCTGCTGCTGCTGCTGGCTCAGATCCAGGCACCGATCTACCGAGGGACGAGATGTGAGGTTATGCAGGAGGAGCAACAACAGTAAGTCGAAGATGATCAAGTTTTGTTTCCATGGCCACCTAGCGATTAGCTGCGTTACTATGAGATACAATCTTTGGTTTCCATGGAATCCAATTTACAAGTATTATTGGATTGAGATAGTGGATTTAAACTTTGATTTATTAATAATAATTAGAAGAAACAGATTTCAATAGTAATATAAATAGAATTAAGAAACGAAAAATTAAATATATCTCTTAGTAAATATTAATCAACAATTTGTAGGCTGTAGGCGGCGGCGGTTTGCTAGACCCGAAGAGTGGAACGTTGGCTGTACCGCCAGGGTTTGGTCAGAGCCCAGGTGGCGGTGCTTCCGTCGGTGTTTCCCAACTCTGGTATGGACTCCTGGTGCTTCTGCTGCTCGTAGATCTGCCGGACGAGTTCGGAGGCGCCGACGTCGCGTTTCCTCTGCGCCTGTCGCCGCTGCATCTCGATGAAGATGAAGGATGCGACGGCGACGGCGATCAGCATCCCGATCAGACACAGCAGGATCACGTTGGCGTCCGTCTTCTCCAGCATGAACTGCGAGGTCACCCCCAGCACGACGATCAGGATTATCAGCAGGATGGTGATCGACAGGATCATCAGGCTGCCGCGCCGCTCTGCAATCACAACAACAACATCATCAGCAAAGGCTTTTTACATCTTCGTTCCCTTACCAGTGTATTCTTTGTTTTCGTTCATGTTGTCGGAGGAAGAACAAACATCATTCGGCAATGTTTCCGGAGAGAGGAGCGCAATTTAGGTTAGGAGATAGCTCGATTGGAATTGTTTACTCGCAGGTTTCCATATCGACCAAACAAACAAACAAACAAACTGCGATACAGATTTCCCGCACGCTCCTTATTTTTTTTCTCCTTATTCCTGCTGCTGCTGCTGTCGCCGCCTCTATTGCTCTTGTTGACCGATAAGAGCAGCGTTTCCTCGAGGCCACCACATCTATTCGTCAACAATCGCAATTGCAAGCAAACAATAATTGCGTGGCAGGTGTTTTCTAGTAATTGAAACATATCGCTATGACAACATATGCGCGCGATCGCTAAGTGAAAGTCGCGCGCGAGCCTCCATTTCATTTCTCCATTCTCTTCATTCTACCTCCTCTGCTCTTCCTCCGCTTTACCATTTTACTCTAACTTTACTTTTCTTCCACAAATACTAATAATGTTATTGTCCAAGGTTGATCTTATAAACGGTTCTTCTTTTGGACTTTAGCAAAACAAAAACTGTGTTGCTACGCGACTTACGTCAAATCACACAAACTTCGGCCTACTTAACAGTTACATATACGTGGGGGAGGGGTCTAACAAAAGTTCGCTTAGTTGGCTGGAAAAACAACAACAGCCAATTATACTTTTCAAAATTGATGAATTCTAACATGAAAACCATTCTCATCGTAACTAAGCACAATTAACAGTAGATGTTACCGCTGCACAGCTATTTAGATGCGATTACGTAAGACTAATTGTTCTTAAGTTCTAAATTAAGAGCTATTAGTTTGGCCTACTTCAATTAGAAACATTACAAATTCTAAATTGTTATTACATTAGAAATCAATAAATTAACGCTTATTAGTGAATAGTTCAATTCAATTATTACTTAATCACGCAACAAATGAAGTAATGAAAGTTTAAATTTCAAAATTGTAATTTTGTTTTTAAAACAAAATCCGCCGGAGAGATGTCGCTGCTTGACAACATTCAAACGTATGTAATTCCATTAATAAACATTTAATGAATTCATACTGTAAATAATTACACGCTTAATTATACAATTGACGATTTGCTTAATGGGAATTATCAATGAATGATGTTATTAGAAAATCGTGGTTCAAACAGCGCCAAAAGCGATGAACTAAAAGCCTGGTTGTAAACCATAAGCCTACTATGTTTTTATGTTAATTACAACGTCGATTAGCAATTGTTAATTAATTGAAATACACAGAAGTTTATAAATATTCTCTTTTTCTTTATTCAACAAAATCTATTTCACAAATTCCTTTATCGTTTTTGTTTTGTTTAGTTTTGTAATGTTTCACTGTTCCCGTCCTATAAATATAAATTACAATTAATAATACTTCAATATATACCACACCTCTCCAAATTTTTACTTTTATTACTTTTTTTGTATTCGAGAAATTATTCTTCGCGTTCTTTCGCAGCAGTCTTTTCCCTTATAAATAAATAAATTTGAGTATTTGCTTAAGACACTTAGCACAAAGCTGATCCAGGTTTATAGCAAGCGCTTACTGAGAGAGAGAGAGAGATCAATAATTAAAAAACGAAATAATAAAACAACAAAGAATAACGGAAAAAAAACACACACACACAAGAAAATGATCAAATTTTTAAAGTAAAAAATAAAATAAAAAAATAATAATTACGAAAATCTCCGCGCGCGAATTCATTCATTCAGTCGTTGTATACATATACACATATTTTCGAATATACATATATAAGGCATTCTTCTTCTCCTCCTCCTTCTTCTTCATACCGTAGTCTCATCTTTGTCACGATATTTATCGACCAAGTAGGAATTTATCTCCGAGTCGGAGAGACCGCCGCCCTCGTAATCCGGGTGCTTCCTTGGACCGCGTTTGATCTGCTGGTAGAGCTCGTCGATTTCGCTTGCCGAGACGCTGCTCGCTCTGCTCTGCGCCCTCTTCGACATGAAGAACTCGTGCGAGGGGTTCACGTAGATGCGCGGGTTCTCGTGCTTGACGTTCTCGTAGAACTGCGGCTCCTCGGTGAGCGTGCTCATGTTCGGGCTGTTCTCTCGACGAACATGTGAAGGCACGACGACCTCGCCGCTCTCCGGCGGAAGCACCACCACCTTCTCCGGACTCTTCTGGTCCAAAATCGAGTCGGAGATGGCCTCCGAACTGTACTCCAACGTGCACTGCTGCGACACCGATCGCATATTGTTCTCCCTGATCGAACTCTTGTTGCTGCTGTTGTTCTGTTTCTTCTTCGCGTTCCTCACCGGCTTATCGTCTTTCCGTCTGGAGCGATCGCTGTTTAAGATCAACTTCTCGACGGGTATGTTCAAAGCGTTCAGATCGTCGCAGCTGTCCGACAGGATATTCGGGTTGCGATGTTTCTGCGACTTCTTGGGAACATTCTCGACGTGGATGTTCGTGTTGTTCACCTTCGAGTTGGTCGCGTAGATGTTCGTGTCTACACTGGAATTGTCTTTGTGCTTGGGCTTGGGGCAAGATAGCACGGATCCGTTATCACTGTTCAAGTCTACTCTTCGCGCCGCCAAATTGTTGCGCTTCATCATGTTCCGCTTCTGCTTCTTGAAGAACTTCCTGGCGACGGTGCTCTGATGCGGATTGTAGAACATCTCCGCCGAATGCGTGGGATTCTCGATGAGATTCGGCACGACCGTCGTGTTACGATACTGCTGCCTGTGGAGCACCACCAAATTAACATTGTTTATCTTCGTACCAGACGGTTCGGTCATCGACGTCGTGTTCAAATCCGCCGCAGCCTTGAGCACGTTGCTGTTATGCGAGACGGACTTGGTTTGTGCTGATGACCTCGAGCTCGATCTGGAGATTATGTGCACGTCCGAAATAGTAGTCGGCACCTGCGGTAAAGGCTGTATCTGTATTTGGGCCATGTTCTGCGAAGTGTCCGATACATTCCTCGACCTGAAACAGAACCCTTTCCTCTTCACCCATCTACTGGTGAGCACCCATTGTGTGCGCACATCGTTCCTCGCTATGCAGTAGAAGAAAATCGTGAAGATCCCGAGCAGCGACGATAGAATGGCGTAAAGAACACTGAAGATATCCTCTTCGAACGGTACGACTTTGAATGGTTTGACTGTAGCCAAAGCGCAGCTTATCCAAGCGAACACGTAGATGAACAGGAATTTCACGTAGGCCTTGAGCTGAGCCATGGGCGCATGCTCGGGGTCTTCCACCTCCGAAGAAGCCGTTTTACTGGACACACTTCGGACGCTCCTGCTGTCCACGTGCGGAAAGTTCGGCTCCAGCAAATCCAGATCGACGTTCTCCGTCGCCTGAGTGCCTTCACTTAAATGTCCGTTAGCGTCCGTGCTGTAGATCGCGCATCTGATCAACAGGAAGAACACGCCGAGAAACACGACGAGTATCGCGAACGGTATGTACAGAGCACTCAACGCGGGCGCGCTGCTCAAGAAACAGCGCGCGTGTGCCGAGTACTCCTTCATATTCACAGCACCAGAGATCCCGCAAACTATCAGAGCTACACCCCAACCGACCAGATACAGCCCGAGGATTGGCTTCTGTATGGGCTCGTCCGAAGGCAGCTCGTCGTCTTGCAACTCGATCACATCGTTCTTCCGCAACCTCTTGTACATACTGTTAACGCCGACGCACATCCACAGCAGCGAGGAGAGCGTCAAATAGTGCAGACTGATCCCAACGACCTTGCAAACGCGAACATCTTCCGTCTGGTAAATCCCGAACACGTACATAAAGCATAGCAGCGAGATCGCCACCCAGGTGTTCACCAGGGAGTGCTTCGTTTTCTTTGGCATTTGAATGGCGGGATAAGCGAACAGATAACTCAAAATAGAAAACAGCAAGCAGACGAACAGCACGAAAGTTCCCACGTAGATGGCAGGATGCGAGAAGCGGAACTTCGCACCGGTCTGCTTGTGAACGGCACGACTTGTATCTTGAAGCAGACCGTAATACCCCAACTGCTTGCAACTGAAGACTAGATTATCCCGGATCTCGTGACTTATCTGGCATCCCTCTGAAGACCATCCACCTCGACCTCCGTCCAAAGCCGGATTCCACCAGACCGGCGTCGGGGGAATCAAATCATACAGGTATTTCAATTCGGGTTTCAGCATCACGTACACCGGTTCCGTCAAATTGCTAACCGTCACGTTGCCTGCAAGCAAAACCAATTGGAATTATTTCACATCTTCAATTTCATCATCTACAAGTCTTACCCAACTTAACGCCGACCACCGACGAGGTCACCTCGTGTCCTTCCTTCTCAAGTTTCGGGAAAAACTTACTGCTACTGAACATAGTGACTAAGAGCGTGAGCGGTACCTTGTCGAGAACCACATCTTGCTCCTGCAATTGATAGAACAAACTCGGAGGTATCTGAACCGAAGCCTCGACGTCCCTCTCTTGCGAAACCGACGTCGCCGACGGATTGTACGTGACGCAATGGAACAGCTTATCGTCTTCATCTAGAGAATTCAGATACCAAGTGCAAGTCATGCCTGTGAACGAATCTCTTTTCAGAATAAACTGCTCGAGAGCTACGTGATTTCTGTGCAGCAACGGGGACGGAGTGAAATTGACGATCCTCTCGATGGCCGCAACCATCTTCCCGCAAGATCTGTCCTCGACATCAGCGTCCAGCAAATACTCCTCGCCCAAATCCATAAAGTTGTTCAAAACATCGATAAGGAGTCCGCCCAATTCCTGCTCGAAGCTCAAGTATTCAATGTAATTCTCTATCGTTCTGGCCGCGTACACCAAGTCCATGATGTCTTTCATCACCTTCAGATCGGCCGTGTAGTTTTTAAAGTGTTTGGCACTCTCGAGAATGCTTCCCTTGGCAAGACTCAAATTGACCTTGGAGAATTGCTCCAAGATCTTCGTCGTATCCGATATGTACGGACATTTCGTGGTGTTGAGATTCTCCCAGTAGCCTTTCGTCGAACAGAAATAGTTGGCCTTCTGCTGCGACACCTCGCTGGTCAACTGAATCGATTCGCAGGGCAACGCCACGCTGTTGTTGACCACCGTCCTCGGCCAAATATAATTACCTTTATTATTGACGGTCGTCGTGATCGGACAGTACTTAGTTTCGTTGGAAATCACCACAACGCTTATTCCCCTCGAGTGGTTACCTCTCTGCGATATCAGCTGGCAATTCCAATCGCCGCTGTGATTCCTGTTCAGCTTGGCGATGCTCAGGGAGCTATCGATGAGACCGCTATCGGCGAGGTAACGATTCTGAATGTCCACATCGAAGAAGTGATGTCGCGGATTCGAGTCCAGCCACATCCACTCGATGCGATCCTTCGCTTCCGAATCGAACATGTCGAAGCTGTCCGTGGAACTGGGGGCGCGGCATTGAAGCCGCAACGAATCCCCTTCGAACACGACCTGCCCATGATCAGGTATGAGCTCCACTATCGGCATCTCCCGGTTCGTCGCCGGAGATTTGCAATGGATCTCGACGCCCACCTTCAATTTCCTCAACGGTTTCCCGTAGAACGTCTGCGGCGTCTCGCATTTCGGATTCGACATCAGTTTCACGGACAATTTATCCGCCCAGTCCAACAGCCACAGCAGCGCGCAGTCACATTTCAACGGGTTATTTGATATGTCCCTAAAACAGTCGACAATCAATTGATACGCAATTCTCACAATTCGCGAAATCACTTACAGTTGCTTCAATTTCATGAACGGATTGAAAGTGCCCTTCTCTATGCTGGTGATTTGGTTCTGGTTCAGCTTCAGCCTTTCCAAGTGCTTCAGATTCGCAAAGGCCAAAGTGTCTATATGCTTAATACTATTTCCGGACAGGTCGAGACGATGCAAGTTTGGTATTTCACTGAATTGGTTGTTTTGTAATGTTGTCAATTGGTTTCGGCTTAAATCACTACAAAAAAAAAAAAAGAAATTCCTTAAAGAATTGAAAGAAAAAAAAAATAGAGTTTTCTCATCAAGTAAACTGTGAATGACTTTGTTTATAAACAAAAGATTTCTGTTTACTTTGCATCAAAAATAAACTTACAGTTTCTGCAGGGCAATGAATTGAACTTTCGGCGTGAATGTGGTCAAATAATTACTCGATAAATTCCTGCAATTGAGAATTGGATTAGTGCTCTCTCCGTCCTGATTGGAATTTATATAAATAGACTCACAATTGGACCACTTCGTTGGCGATGTTCAGGAAATCATCATCCTCGATGTAAGTCAACCTCTCGGTATCCCCACACCTGATCTTGACCCAATCCGAACCGTCCCTCTGGGGACTCCTCTTGCAGCTACATTTGCTCGGACAATCCTCCGGGCACACAGACACTATGCACAGATACAGAAAAAGCACAACATATTTGCTGATGATGCGTTCCATAATTCAAACACCCAAGCATCATAATTCTTGCCACCTCCTCGACCTGAACACTTGTATATCCATCACTTGCCGCAGAGATGGGTTATTGAGAGCAGGGTGTTCACCCTTCCCACTAGATCCACTTCTCAACACTTGAATCAATATTAGTCTTGAGATATTTTTGGCACATCACAAACCCACCCTAAACAACTTGAGCATAAATCCAAATAAAGATAATCAACTTTAATAATATTTATAATATGAATAACTAATAACAAAATCTGGAAGCCATACTTGAAACAAAATTTGTTTGTGTTTTCTTTTTGCTTTATTGCCAACTGCTGCTACTGTGCTTTGGTGGTGGTATGGCGGCAACCAAAGATGCACTCAGCGCTCTCTGTGGCTCATCAATCGAAGGACAGATTCAAATTCAAATAAATTCAAACAATTTCTTTCAGAGGATTTATTGTCTGCGGAGACCGTTGATGGTTTTGCAGATGATGTCGATGGCTTCGCTCATCTGGATCTTGGTGATGACGAGCGGTGGTGAAAATCTGATGGTCTGTTCGCGCGTTTGCTTGGCGATAACACCGTTCGCCTTCAGCTTCAAGCAGGCGTCCCAGGCGTTCCCGTAATCTGAGAAACACAATTAACCGAGTAAGTGAGAGAGTTTTAAAATGATTCATTATACTTTTGTTGATGACTGTCGCGTTCAGTAGGCCTTTTCCTCGAACGACGTGTAGAATCTTTTGATCGCAACTGTTTCGCAGAGCCTCCCTAAACATTGCGCCCATTATTGTAGCATTGTAGGCGAGTCTCTCTTCCTCCAAGACTTGCAACGAAGTGATGGCCACCTTAGATCCCAACGGGTTTCCACCGAAGGTTGAGCCGTGGGTGTCCGGTTCTATGACCAGCATAACGTCGTCGTTGGCCAAGCAAGCGGAAACCGGATAAACGCCTCCGCCTAACGCTTTGCCCAGCACCAGAATATCGGGTTTAACTTCTTCGTAATCCACGGCGACTCTCTTGCCCGTCCTTCCTAGCCCCGTTTGGATTTCGTCGGCGATCCACAGGACGTTGTACTTGTCGCACAATTTGCGAACGCCCTGCAGGTAGCCGTCCTGCGGCACGATGACGCCGGCGTCCCCTTGGATCGGTTCCATCATGAAAGCGCACACCGTCGGATCTTTAAACGCTTTCTAACTCATAATTATTGCATTGCATTCGAAATGAAAAAAAGGACGCGGTATTACTTCGAGTTCCGGTAGGTCGTTGTACGGGACGAAGTGAAATCCCGGCATGTACGGTCCGAATCCCTCGAAGCTGAGCGGATCAGTGGACGCGGAGATGGCGGCCAGAGAGCGACCGAAGAAGTTTTCCTTGCAGAAGATGATCTTCGCCTGGTTCACGGGGATGCGCTTTTTCGTGTAGCCCCATTTCCTCGCCAATTTGCATGCGGTGTCGTTCGCCTCGACGCCTACATCGCAAATAATTGAAATGTTTCGTCACTAATTCCTGCGCGTTTCAGTTACCGGTGTTCATGGGCAGCACCTTGTCGTAGCCGAAGAGCTTTGTGATCTTCTCGCAGTACTCCCCCAGGACGTCGTTGTAGAACGCTCTGGAAGTGTGGTGCAAGATACCGACTTGCCTCTGGATGGTGGACACGATCTTCGGATGGCAGTGGCCGTAATTGTTTGCCGAGCAGCCGCTCAAGAAATCCATGTACTTCTTTCCTTCCACATCCCACACGTAAATTCCTAAACGTAATCATATAATCGACTCATCAACGACGATGCCGTTAATTACCTTTTCCTTTGCAGAGAGCCACCGGAAGCGGTTTATAGTTGTGCGCAGCGTATTTGGACTCCTTCTCGAAGACCTCTTTGGAACTCACGCGTCTTGTGTTCAGTTTCAACAGTGCGGGCAATGGACGAAATTTCGACACCATCTGAAATAGGACGAGAGGTAAAAACTACGTTGCAGTCATTTTGCTCAATTGTCACAATGACGTCCACATTCTTAATAATTATTTGATGAAGCGATCATAGTTTTGCTCATACCTTGACCAAGTTTTTCCTTTCTATGGCAGTTTACTACTGCTTATTGGTCTTTATAGGTGCATTGTTGTTATTAGCGTACATAAAAAATGCTTATCAATGCCCATTGAACTAATATCGACGATTATCCAAATTATATAGTATTCGTAACGTGCGAATAACAGAACAACAATGTTTCTAAACATCATCGCATTGGAATGCCGAGTATTGCAACATTTACAGCAAGAAATTTTATCTAGACGCGTTAGTTAATTATCTTTTTTAATTAGGCATTCCAATACTCAACTTACAAAGTCGATCATTTTAATGTTCATGGTGCAAATATATTTTTAATGCCAAATTATTTGATTTGATTTGAAAATTTAACTGTAGGTTTTGTTGCGTAACAAGTTTCAAACTAATGTTCTGCGGCATCTGTTGCTTTCATCTCGAAGTTGTATATAGTTTCGGAATTGTTGCGCTGTTTTAATCACGAGTTTTTAATCAGGGCTTTTAAAAGGAATTATGTAATTATCATAATATTTATATGTATTTGATAATATGTCTGTTTTTATCTATTTATTGCTTAATAACTCTGCGAACTGTGATTAGATGTTAATGCAGTGCGTCATCTGTTGAGGAACATTTCTAAATAATTTTTAAATTGAATTTTTTTTTTTTTTAAATATTTACTAATTTCTTAATCAGTTTAATTGTAGTTTGGGTGTGTAATGAAAGTCGCATTGAAACTTAGAAATATATAATATTTTTTAACAAGATAAGAAGTAATAGGGTTGGGTATAAAATATAGGAGTTATTTTATAAGAATACGTGGGTGTTTTGTGAATTATTTGGAGAAGCTGTTGATTGTCTTGGTGATGATGTCGACGGCTTGGTTCATTTGGGTTTCGTTGATGGTCAACGGAGGCGCGAATCTGATGATGTCCTCGTGCGTGTGCTTGGCGATGACTCCGTTCTCTTTGAGTTTCAGGCAGACGTCCCAGGCGTCGGCGTAATCTGCAAGAAATGATTAGTACGTTGTTATCGATGATGATGTATTAATTGTACTTCTGTTGATGACTGTGGCGTTCATGAGTCCCCTTCCGCGAACATCGATGACGACCCTCTTGTCGGCAGCACCCTGAACGCCGCTCCTGAAGATCTCGCCCATCTTCGTAGCGTTCTCGGCCAACTTCTCCTCCTCGAGCACCTCCAGAGCGGAGATGGCCACCTTAGATCCCAGCGGGTTTCCACCGAACGTTGAGCCGTGAGTGCCCGGTTCCATCACCAACATCACGTCGTCGTTGGCCAAGCAAGCGGAGACGGGATAGACGCCACCGCCTAACGCTTTGCCGAGCACGAGGATGTCGGGTTTCACGTTTTCGTGGTCGACGGCGATCCTCTTGCCGGTCCTTCCAAGTCCGGTTTGAATTTCGTCGGCGATCCACAGCACGTTGTACTTGTCGCACAGCGCCCTCACTCCCTTCAAGTAACCCTCGTGGGGCACGATGATGCCGGCCTCTCCTTGGATCGGTTCCACCATGAAGGCGCACACGGTCGGATCCTGAAGGGCTTTCTACAACACACACAAGTTGGTTAGTTGATTGCTTTAACTACTATTGTTAAACCGTTAATTATTACTTCGAGTGCGGTGAGGTCGTTGTAAGGGACGCAGCTGAATCCGGGCATGAAGGGTCCGTATCCCTCGAAGCTCAGAGGATCGGTGGATGCGGAGATGGCGGCCAGAGAGCGACCCCAGAAGTTCTCGCTACAGAAGATGGTCTTGGCCTGGTTCTTGGGGATCTTCTTTTTCTGGTAGCCCCATTTCCTCGCCAATTTGCAAGCGGTGTCATCGGCCTCGACGCCTGTGCAGTTTGGGGTATGTGTTAAACTTAATATTTTGCACTCTCTGACAATCACTTACCGGTGTTCATCGGAAGCACTTTATCGTATCCGAACATTTTGGTGATCTTCTCGCTGTACTCTCCCAGGACGTCGCTGTAGAATGCCCTGGAGGTGTGGTGCAGGATTCCCGCTTGCTTCTGGATGGTGGACACGATCTTGGGATGGCAATGACCAAAGTTGTTTGCGGAGTAACCGCTCAAGAAGTCCATGTACTTCTTTCCCTCGACATCCCAAACGTGAACACCTTGAATTCAAACCGTTTCTTATTATAACATTTCAAAGCGTATCTTCTATCCGGCGTTTAACTGTGACCACATACAACACAATGCAAAGTTCATTGACGTGTGAACTTTTGCATTTGCAAATACGAGACCGAGACTACTTTTGCACAAATATCAACGTAAATCCGTTTGTTAATTTACCTTCTCCTTTGCAGAGAGCGACCGGAAGTGGATGGTAGTTGTGAGCTGCGTATTTGGACTCTTTGTCGAAGACCTCTTGGGAGCTGACGGAACGTCTCGCGGTGACCTGGGCCTCGAGCCTGGCTAATCCACGGAATTTCGACAACATCTGTGAAAAGAAGATGCAGAGAATAAATGTTATTGCAATAAATAGACGGAGCGACGATGATTGCGGGAGAACGAGTAAGTAAATAAATACCTTTGCTTTGATAATCTGTGATATGTGTGTGTGTTCGGGTCGAGCGAACAGCGCGCGAATAATCTCCGAAACCAGATTCTGCCCGTCTTATAAGAGGCCTTAACCCCGCTGCTGTTAACCTTTATTGCATACACACACACACACACATTTACCAGTTATTAGCAGATAATAAAGATAAACTCTGCTGTGATGTGCTCGCCGTTACACAATTGTTCAAGAGGGAAATAATGAAACTTTTAAAAAGCAGCACACTTAATTACGATGAAACTGCATTCTCGTTACGTAAGATTTTCATTCGGTTCGGAAACCAGTTCGATTAGGAACTTAATTAATTTGTATAATTTTTGTAACATTTCCAAGTTGTATTATTTACCTTTATCTCGCTCTCAAGATTTTTATTTGAAATTACTTGTTAATTCGGTCGTACTTGAAGTATATATATATATATATATATATATGTATATCTTCAGTACAACAAAACTGAGTGGTAGTCGATGTTGGCCTTCGTCTGGCGAAAAGCGAATGGAAACTAAACAATCCGATGTACATCGAATGCAGGCAAACCTGTCTTGTTGCGAGTGGAATGCATTTTTCTTGTCGTTAACATTCGTCGTTTTCGTTCTCGTTTTTGTTGCATTCGTCGTTCCGGTTCCTCTTCGTCGACGGTATGACGAAGAGGTGGAGTTGCGTAATACGTAATTTCAGCGAAAATAATAAATAAGTAAATTTAATTGCAAAATAAATAATGTTTTGTAAAAAAAAAATTGTGTTAGAATTGGAGGAGAAGCAACCCACTCATTTAGATAATTCTGTTTGTTTTTCTACAAGCGAACGGGCGCTGACGATGATGATAACCTTCTTTTTCGCGCTGATAAAAAGTTCGACAGCTAAATATAGATTCGCGACTGTCGTTATGAAACGCATAAAACTCGCGCTATTTATGGACTTTCCCTTTCGTTTTCATTTTTCCACTCGATCAATCGATTGCAGTTCGTTAACTGATCAATCTAAACGAGTGATTGCAGAAGATTTAAAGAAATTCAAAGAATTCGTAGATAGGTGTAGATTAGTAATGCTTTACAATAGAAATTAGTTGCAGTATGCACGGTTTGCTAATTGTTTCAAGTTGTAACCAAGGTTACAACTTGTTATTTTTAGGTTTTTTTTCATTATCATTTCGCCTTTACTTTATTTCCTTACTAAGTAACGTAATTGAAGATATCGAAAAGTGGAGATTCAAACATTGAAAAATGAGCGTAAATGTAAACAAACTAATATTTGCTGCACAATCTATTCGTTAATTGAATTATCTTGTGTAAATACATGCGTCGCTGTCCAAACAGTTTGTAACCAAGGATACGTTTACAGTGCAGGTTTTTGTTATTTTCAACAGAAAATCTGTGTTTCGATTTTGTTTTCAAAAAATGTTAATCTTAAGTTTCGTTATTGCAATGGAATGGAAAGAATGGAAGAATTTGTGAAATGTTAATCTTAAATAATAACAGAATTTAAAATTTGCCGTCGTAGTAACAGGCGTATAAATAGAATTACGTAAAAATAACCTGTTTTCGAAATTGTTGTTGTTGTTGTTTGTTATTGTAACAAGTTTTTGTGCGATAACGTTTAATGCGTCTGTTTTTTTTTTTGCACAGTTTTTACTTAATCGAAATGATTGGAAACATGCAAGAGTTTTTGTGTGTTCGCTTTTAATTAAACAATTGGATGATTTAATAATGAACGCAACGGAACAATGTTTGTGGAATGTAAACAAATCGCAAATGGAAATTTCTCTTTGAGGTTTTTTAACAGTAATTTTGTAATCAGTTGAATATGATGTTTTAATTGAAGCGACTTAATCCACTTTTAATGGACTTGACACGACCCGAGCGTACGTGATTTGTTGAGAACGAACGATTTATATTAATGTGAGTGCGTTCGTTCGTTCGTTTTCGGATTTGTAATATGCGAACTCACCTTCGAACTTGTATCTTTTCTTTCAGTTTTCAAAGAAATGTGGATTTCGTGGATGATATTGATTTGTTCGAACGTCTTGGTCGTACTGCTGCATGTTTACAAGGATTTCCTATAATCGGGGACATCGTTATCATCAGAGGAGGCGCATCCCACCCTCCCCGGATCTGATGTAATCCGATCCAACGACGGAAAGTTTGTTATTATTATTATTATATAATGATTGATAAATATTGGTTTTGCTACCCACCCGACTGATAACATCGCGCACACCGTTTATTTACATTCCTCTCGCTCTCGTCGTGAAGCGGCAAACATAGTGAAAAATAATGAAATGAAATAAAACACACGTAACACATATAAATCAGGCCATATCGTCCATAGATAATATGGAGAGAAATGACGAAAAGTAATCATAATCATAATGGAAATATTGAAATTCGCACCACGAACGTTTTTTATTTATCTTCCGTTGCAATGACGAATTGTTATTGTTGCTAACCGAGTTGCAGATGCGCCGAAAATAACAATAATTGTGCATTGGCGAGACAAAACATGTGCTAATATGTATATTTTTCGTCTGTCCTTGCATGCACTTTCATCTTTCCATGTTTCGCCGCATAACAATGATTATTATTAATAGATGGATGTCTAAGAGTGCGATGTATTTGCTTTTGTTCTATTTTGTTTGACAAAAAACAAAAGTGGAATGTTGTATGGCAACGCATACTTGTTTGTTGTTTGCATTCTGTCAATATATTGTTTTCGCACTTCGTTTTTTTTTCTTTTCTTTTCTTCTTCTTCGGCATCCGTTGAAAATTAGCCCATGTTTCGCGGTCGCACGCAATCTGCGATTAAATTACGTTCGTTTCATGCAAAACTGTATTTAAATCATACGTTATTATTATTATTATGTGTGGTAATCGGAGCTGTGAAATGAAATTAGAATTACATACGCACACACGCACACAGATGTTGATCAATTTTTGATTTAGAACTGAAAGATTCTATTTGTTAAGTTTACAGTTTGACTTGAATATATTGTAATAATATAATTTTTTTGTTTAGTTCTTGAAGGAGTTGATGGTATGTAAGATGATGCGAGTGCATTCCATCAGTTGATCTTCGTTCATCACCAGAGGCGGAGCGAGACGGATGACATCGTTGTGCGTCGATTTGGCGAGCAGTCCGTTGTCCCTCAGACGAATGCAAACATCCGAAGCGGTGAATCCGAGTCCTGCATTCAAAATGATATTCGTGTTTGAATGATGATGCAATTAGGATGTAAGATGTTACCTTGTCTTATGACGATGGCTCGCAGAAGACCTTTCCCACGGACCTCCTCGACGATTTCACTCGGTAACTTTTCCAGTTCCCTCTTGAGAATTTCACCCAATCTTCGCGAGTTCTCGGTGAGGTTCTCCTCGACGATGACTTTCAGAGCGGTCAGTGAGACTCTGCAGGCGAGCGGGTTTCCACCGTACGTTGAGCCGTGCTCGCCTGGTAACATGCACAGCATGATGTCGTCGTCGGCCAGAACGGCAGATACCTAAACATCAACTGTTGACTGTTATTTATTTCGGAAATATGTTGGATTCATTACTGGCATCATTCCGCCGGACAAGGCTTTTCCCAGACACACCATGTCGGGTTTAACGTTCTCGTGGTGAACGGCCAACAGTTTTCCGGTTCGCCCTAATCCAGCCTGCACCTCATCGTCGATCCAAAGAACGTTGTACTTGGTGCACAGCGCTCTGACTCCCTTCAAGTATCCATCGTCTGGTACGATGATTCCGGCCTCGCCTTGGATCGGTTCGACCATGTAAGCGCAAATGTTTGGATCCTCTTTGAAGCATTTCTTTGCATACACACACACGAGACAATGTTGTTTAAAATCGATAAATTGTAATTGTTCTTATAGGATTTTACCTCGAGAGCGTTCAGATCGTTGTAGGGGATGATTATGAAACCGGGCATGAACGGGCCGTACTTGTCACGACACTTGTCGTCGGTGGATGAGGAAATCGCCGTCGTCGTTCTTCCCCAATAGTTGCCTTCCGCGAAGACGATCTTCGCCTGATTGTCGGGTATCTTCTTCTTGGTGTAGCCCCATTTCCTAGCGATCTTTATCGCCGTTTCGCCGGCCTCTACGCCGCTGTTGATCGGCAAGATCTTCTCGTACCCGAACAACTTGGTCGCGTACTCTGCGAATTCGCCGAGGACGTCGTTGAAGAAGGCCCTGGAGGTGAGCGTCAATATTTCCGCTTGTTTCTTGAGCGCCTCCACGATCCTGGGATGACAGTGGCCCTGATTCACGGCGGAGTAGGCGCTCAGGAAGTCGTAGAATTGATTTCCTTCGACATCCCAAACGAACACACCTTTGTTTTTGTTGCAAGCAGATGATCATTTGATCAAGTTTACAATTGTGGATATTGGCAAAGTGAAAAATGAATGAATGTACCTTTTCCTCTGGTCAACGCGACCGGTATGGAATTGTAGTTGTGGGCACCGTACTTGCGATCCCTCTTGAAGACCTTCTCGCTCAGAGCGCCAGGAACTCTGGAGGCGTTCTTCTGAGTCAACTGGCTGATGTTGTGGGACATTCTCTGATTCAGTATGATTGTCCTGATGGTCGGGGTGAGCCTTTTATTGTGCGACCCATGTTTGCACGTCAATATTTGTTCTTTCGATAATTGGAACTAATTAATGCATTTGAATAATTTGTGTGGCGTCGCGTCGCTGCACCCATCGTCAGTAGATTTAATTAGCGCGACAACTACAAACATCGGGTTTTTTGTTTGCAAGCGCAATTAGAAATGCATCGTTGGAGATTTGGACGAATTGCATAATGTCCAAAAGAAAAGTGTTCAAATATGCCCTTAAATCTAAATACTTTTGATAATTGAAGATTTATGGTTAACGACTTTTTGAAAAGAAATAAATGTTACAGATTCGTTCGTAACAGTATTTATATGTGTATATTAATTCCCTAATTAAGAGATTGTTCAAAATTCATATTTGAACTACTCGAAAACTATAATACATAGAATGAATCCAAAAGATGCATATGAAAGCCCGAAATAATTG